TTGCCTGAGGTGGAATGCAATGGTGTTCCTGCTTTTTCTTCGCTAATTGCTTGAAAATGGAAGGTTTCTCTTCTGCTCTTTCAAATTTTCATGATGTTTTGTTTGGGTGGGGAATGAGTGGGGTGCAAAGGGTTTGCTCTGCCTTAGTGCCCACCTGCAGGGTCCCACAGCTCCTCCCACGTGTGCAGGCTGAGCACAGCTGGGGGCAAGTTGTTTACAGCAAATTTCTTGCTCCAGCAACTCAAGTCAATGGGTTTTGTTGAAGAATTCAAGCGTTTCCTTTGCTTTGAAGTCCCAGTAAAAAGGACTGTAACCCAAAACCCACAGGCGTGGGAGGACAAAACCTCCGGGATCTCCATGGATCACAAGTAGCAAAGTTTACTTTGTGGAGCCCCTTATCTAAGGACTCGTCCTCTGTTCTGGTGGGAGCCCACGGAATCCTGCCCACCACAGGTGCTGTGGGAGAGCCCGTGGCCTCAGCACCTCTCTGGGGCAGGAGCAGCTCCCGGGGCCTGGGGACCGGGGGAATGTGCAAGTCTGAACTTGAATTTGAGTTTTAGCCAGGATTGGAACTTTGTTGCAGTTTGTTTCCACTGATGCATTTATTGGTTCTATGAACCAGGAGCAAAATTAAACTCCTTAACCTCCTTCCAGGCTCAGGCCTCTTCTCCCCCCCTCTCCCTCCCCCCCTACCCCGTCTTCCCAACTGTGCTGTTTTCTGGCTTTGGAAGCACAGCTGAGCCATGACTTCAGAGGCCCCAGGGACCCAGCATTGCCCCAGGCTGGGAGCAGCTCCAGGAGCACCTCGTGGTGGGCTGAGGCACAGCCTCATCCTGCCCTGCCCCGGCACACAGCGAGTCCAGCTGGGCCACCAACACAGAGCAACTTTAATGTACAAAAAAAGCCACATCTGGGCCAGCAGAAAGCACAGCCCTGGGGGGTGAATACGCTGAAGGCCGTGGATGTTCCTCTCCCTGCTGTGCTGAGGCAGAGGAGCCCGTGGCTCCAGGTCAGGAGCAGCTCCTGGCTCTGCCCAGTGCAGGGTCCTGAGCAGTGACTCAGGACTGTCCCTGTGGTCCCCGAGGTCTCACACTCCTCCCCAAGGGGCCTCAGGTTGTGGCTCAGCTGGGGAGGGTCCCAGAGGTTGCTGTTTCAGCCCCTCTCTGCTCCGAGGCCAGTCAGTGGAAGATGATCTTCTTGTACTTGGAGTTGGGGATCTGCCCTCGTGCCTTGAGCCTCCGCACGGCCTCTCTCATGTGCTTGGGCTGCAGGGGGGGCAGCTCCCCCCACTTCTCACACACGTCCAGGGCTGAACAACGAACACAGAGGTCACAGGAGGGGACACCTGAGCCCTCCCCCTCTTTTACTGCTTCAGCTGCACGTGGAAAGGCAACAGGTAATGCTTGTGTTTAGGGTTTACAGCTCCTGCTTTGCCAATGCCCAGGAATGAACCTGCTCCATGAGCTCCTCCCTGACAGGAGTCCCAGGAGTGACCAGGACAAAGGGCCTCTGAACCACTCAGCCAGGGTGGATGTGCTGGATCCAGTCCCACAGGGACTGATGTGCTTAAACCCAGGGCTGGGTGGGCTCTGTGGGGCTGTGGACAGAGGGGCTGTGCTCCCCCTGCTCCCTGTGACAGGCCCTGAGGCTGCAGGACCCCCAGCCCAGCTGGGACAGCTCCCAGGTCTCAAGGAACTCCTTTGTTCTCAGCAGCACTAAGGAGAGCCCTGGGCTGAGGGACAGAGCTGGAGCCCTGGGATCTCCTCGTGAGGAGCAGCAGCAGTACCTGGCTCAGGGGCAGAGGGGCTGTGCCAGCCCAGGCTGCCCTCGCTGTTCTGCCCTGAGCTGGGGCTGCCACTGGACCAGGGCCTCCCCCGGCCCTGTTTGTGTCCTGAGCTCCGGGCATTGAATTCCACCCCCAGCAGCTGCCACTCACCCTCCTCCACCACCTCCCCCACGAAGACCTTGGAGATGCCGGACATGGCGATGACGACGTTCTGGGACACCGAGGTGCCTGTGATGGACTGGATGAGCTGGGGGGACAGGCAGGGACAGTCAGAGCCCCTCACCTTGACCCACAGAGACCCCCGGCCCCCCCGAGCTGCAGCCCCGTGCCGGCACTGCCGGGGGGTTGGAGGTGCCCTGCGGGCTCTGCCCGGGGATCCCTCGGGATCGGCAGTGCCGGGACACCGGGCTGAGCCGCGGGGCCGGGGCGGCTGAGGAGGGTCCCGGGGGGCCCCTCAGCCCTGTCCCGAACGCCCCTGCCCGTCGTACCCGTTTGATGGCGGCCTTGGGGAAGGCAGAGCGACGGTACATCTCGTACCGGTTCAGCTGCTCCTCGGAGAAGGACGAGACCAGAATCCTGCGGGGGGGGGAGAACGATCGGTCACAGCAAAAATACAACTCCGAGGCTTCTTCGGGTCCCCGCGGCCGCCATGCAAAGGCGCCCCAGCCGGGGCAGGGCTGGGCTGGGCTGTGCCCTGGCGGCTCTCGGGTGTGAGAAGGGGGATCTGGGACGGGTCCCCGGCACTCACTGCATCTTCTGGATCTCGTCCTCATCCACCTTCTGCTTCTTCTCCTTCCGCTCCTTCAGCTCCAGCTTCACTTTCCTGGCCGCGCTCGGCTGCAGCCCGGGCTCGTCCCCGTCCGCCGCCTCCCCCTCCGCGCTCCTCACCTGAAGGACAGCGCAGCGCTCGCTCTGCGGCCGCTCGGCTCCTCCCGGGCCCGCTCCCGCCCGGCCCCGCTCTCACCTCCCCGTCCGCCCCGTCCGCCTTGGGCTCGCCACCCCCGCCGGCCTCTCCCGCCTCGCCCTCGCCCTCCCCCTCCGCGGCCGCCGCGTCCCCCGCGCCGTGTCCCGCGGGCAGGGCCGGGCCCGGAGGCGGCTCCGCGGCCGCGGCGGCTCCGAGCGGGTCCCGGGCCGGGTCCGCCATGGCCGCGCCCGCGGCGCCTCCTGATGGCGCAACACTGCAAGTCCCCGAGAGGTGGGGCCTGTCGTCATGGTAACGGAACCGCCACGGCGCCTCCTGATGACGCACTAAACGGAGGCCAGTGAGGGGCGGAGCCTGTCGCCATGGCAGCGGCTCCGCGGCGGCGCACCCGATGACGATTGACTAAGAGCGCCGTGAGGGGCGTGTCTTTTTATCGCCATGGCAACGGCGCAGAGCCCGCGCCTCCTGATGACGCACAGATAGGGGCAGGACGAGGAGGGGCGAGGCCTGTCGCCATGGCAACGGCGCTGCCGCAGAGGGCCTTGTGCTGGGCTCGGCCCCGCCCCGAGCTAGAGCTCCACACCCGGCTGCTCCCACGGGGCAGAGAGCCGGGACAAGGCGCTGGAGCGGCACCGCAGCCCAGCCCCGCCCCGCCGCTACGGGGAGGAAACCCCCCAAACCCCGCCCGGAAACGGGCGCGGCCTGAGGGACAGGGCGGGGCTGGGGGCGGGCCCTGCGCGGGTCCCGCCTCATCTGATCCCGCCCCCCGAGGCCCCGCCCCGGAAGTGTCGCGGGCGCGGGGCCGCGCCGGCCATGGGGAAGGAGCAGGAGCTGCTGGAGGCCGCGCGCACCGGGAACCTCCCGGCCGTGGAGAAGCTGCTCTCGGGGAAGCGCCTCAGCTCCGGCTTCGGCGGCTCCGGCGGGGGAGGCGGCGGCGGCGGCTCCGCGGGGGGGGGCGGCGGCGGTGGCGGCGGCGGCGGCGGGAGCGGCGGTGTGGGACACCCGCTGTCCAGCCTGCTCAGGTGAGCGCGGCCCCGGGGAGGGCGCTGTGCGGGGCCAGGGGCCAAGGAGGGAGCGGGGAGCTGGGAGTCCGTCCCCGGGGGGGTGCAGGTCATAGCCGGAGGCGCCTCAGGTGGGAGTCGAGGGCCGAGGGTGGGATAAGACATCGCGGAAGGTTGTGAGGGATGTGCGACCTGGAGACCCCGGGGAGTTTGGTGGGACCGGGGGCGCGGGGGGAGCCGCGGCAGAGCCCCTTGGGCCGGTGTGCCTCCTGTGGGCCAGGAGGGGAGGGCAGCTGTCTGTCTGTTTGGAGCGGGCACTGCCAGGGCTGGTGCTGCCCAGGGCTGTCCTATTGCCCCGGGACCGAAGCGCGGCTGTGCGGGCGCTCCGACTGGTGTGACTGGGGAGCTGTGGTGCGTCTGGAGGGTTCTGGGTGCAGCCCAGGACGTGCGGGGGGTCCCGCGGTGGGAGAGCTGCCGGCTGTGGGTGTTGGGTGAGGTGTCCGGGCCCTGCTGGGGCACCCTCCCGGTGACCCCCTGTGGGGTCGGGGTCGGCTCTGGGGGGTCTTCCTCAGTGGCTTTGGTGTCCCCAGCCCTGCGCTGTGCAATTCTCTGGTTTGAAGCTCTTGGACCTTTTTTAGTTTTTTTTCTCCTCCCCTGTTTTTGGCATCTGCTGAGGAAACCACTCAGTGCTGTGCTTCTGGAGCCACAGCTTTGTGCCACTTCAGCCTCTGCTGGAAATGCTGCTGCTCCTGGTCCCTGAGCAACTGGTTTGTACTGGAGCATGGGGAGGAGATTTGTGCCGCTGTCACTACGCACCTTGACTTTTGAGAGGGATGTGACTGGCCCGGTTGTGGCCAAATTTGATGTGTTTTCCCTTTGTCATAACCTGCTCCCTGTCTGGGGCAGAGGCCCCGGCCAGGAGAGCTGCCCTGGNCTTTTTATCGCCATGGCAACGGCGCAGAGCCCGCGCCTCCTGATGACGCACAGATAGGGGCAGGACGAGGAGGGGCGAGGCCTGTCGCCATGGCAACGGCGCTGCCGCAGAGGGCCTTGTGCTGGGCTCGGCCCCGCCCCGAGCTAGAGCTCCACACCCGGCTGCTCCCACGGGGCAGAGAGCCGGGACAAGGCGCTGGAGCGGCACCGCAGCCCAGCCCCGCCCCGCCGCTACGGGGAGGAAACCCCCCAAACCCCGCCCGGAAACGGGCGCGGCCTGAGGGACAGGGCGGGGCTGGGGGCGGGCCCTGCGCGGGTCCCGCCTCATCTGATCCCGCCCCCCGAGGCCCCGCCCCGGAAGTGTCGCGGGCGCGGGGCCGCGCCGGCCATGGGGAAGGAGCAGGAGCTGCTGGAGGCCGCGCGCACCGGGAACCTCCCGGCCGTGGAGAAGCTGCTCTCGGGGAAGCGCCTCAGCTCCGGCTTCGGCGGCTCCGGCGGGGGAGGCGGCGGCGGCGGCTCCGCGGGGGGGGGCGGCGGCGGTGGCGGCGGCGGCGGCGGGAGCGGCGGTGTGGGACACCCGCTGTCCAGCCTGCTCAGGTGAGCGCGGCCCCGGGGAGGGCGCTGTGCGGGGCCAGGGGCCAAGGAGGGAGCGGGGAGCTGGGAGTCCGTCCCCGGGGGGGTGCAGGTCATAGCCGGAGGCGCCTCAGGTGGGAGTCGAGGGCCGAGGGTGGGATAAGACATCGCGGAAGGTTGTGAGGGATGTGCGACCTGGAGACCCCGGGGAGTTTGGTGGGACCGGGGGCGCGGGGGGAGCCGCGGCAGAGCCCCTTGGGCCGGTGTGCCTCCTGTGGGCCAGGAGGGGAGGGCAGCTGTCTGTCTGTTTGGAGCGGGCACTGCCAGGGCTGGTGCTGCCCAGGGCTGTCCTATTGCCCCGGGACCGAAGCGCGGCTGTGCGGGCGCTCCGACTGGTGTGACTGGGGAGCTGTGGTGCGTCTGGAGGGTTCTGGGTGCAGCCCAGGACGTGCGGGGGGTCCCGCGGTGGGAGAGCTGCCGGCTGTGGGTGTTGGGTGAGGTGTCCGGGCCCTGCTGGGGCACCCTCCCGGTGACCCCCTGTGGGGTCGGGGTCGGCTCTGGGGGGTCTTCCTCAGTGGCTTTGGTGTCCCCAGCCCTGCGCTGTGCAATTCTCTGGTTTGAAGCTCTTGGACCTTTTTTAGTTTTTTTTCTCCTCCCCTGTTTTTGGCATCTGCTGAGGAAACCACTCAGTGCTGTGCTTCTGGAGCCACAGCTTTGTGCCACTTCAGCCTCTGCTGGAAATGCTGCTGCTCCTGGTCCCTGAGCAACTGGTTTGTACTGGAGCATGGGGAGGAGATTTGTGCCGCTGTCACTACGCACCTTGACTTTTGAGAGGGATGTGACTGGCCCAGTTGTGGCCAAATTTGATGTGTTTTCCCTTTGTCATAACCTGCTCCCTGTCTGGGGCAGAGGCCCCGGCCAGGAGAGCTGCCCTGGGGCACAGGTTTGTGTTTCTGAAACGTGAATGTGCCCCTGGGTCAGACTGTGTCCTTCTCCTTGGATACATTAAACGCTCTGAGCCCTGGTTTGGGAGGGGAGTTGCTGCAGCCCCTCAAGGGGTGGCTGTGCGGGCGGGGGGCTCGGGTCAGTGCCGAGGGTCTGGTTACACACACTGTGAGCTGCACCAGCTCCACACGGGGCCCTTTCCCCGCGGACACGGCACCCGTGGGGCTGTTTGACTCTGTCCGTGGCTTTGTGCACAGACATGTCTGACAGTGCCCGTCACAGCTGTCACCCGTGTCCGCTGACGTGGCTGTCAGGGACACTGCAATGGTCCCGTTCCCCTCCCGAGTCCCAGCCCCGAGGCTGTTTTCCTTGCACTGTGTGTTCTGTGTGTGTCTGTGACAGCAGTTCCGGGTCTGGCAGCGCATCCTTAACTCGCTGTGTGGCACCTGCTGCCACTGAGGGGCTTTGGGATTGTTTCCCACCTCCTGACCCTTTGTTGGGCTTTGGCTCTGGGTTAAGTGACTCCAGGTGAGGAGCTTGTGATGGGGTTTGGATGAGAAGCAGCTGCTGAGTGTCCCTGCAAGGAGAGGCCCAAGGGAGCAGCTGGGACAGATCAATTTTAGGGATGTGTTTGGTGGAGGAAACCTCACCTTTCCAACACTACAACATGGGAGCTTTTCTAGTGTAGGGTGTTGCCCCCTCAGCTGTGGGGAGAGCTCTGCCCTTGGTCAGGTCTGTGTGCTCCATGTTTTCCCTTCCTCAGGCAGCTGCCGCCTCCTACTCAGGCTGATCCCTGCTCCTGCCGAGGCTCCTCCCGTCTGTAAGGATCTGTCCCAACATGGGAGCTGCTGAGCTGCCCTCCACCCCCAGAGCTCATTCCTACTGCAGGGTCATGAATGCTCAGCTGGGTTGGCAGAACTCCCTTGTTCCTTCCTCCTCCCGATTTTGGTTCCTTTGGATGTCGCCATTTAGTTCCTATTTTATTTTTTAAGTCCCACTGTTTGGACAACCTATTCCCAAAGCCCATGTGTCCCGAGGTGCCTGTCTCAGCTTTTTCTGGCAGTTCTGCAACATTTCAGGCTTCTCAAAGATACAGTTTTGGATGAGGTACAAACCAGGCATTTCCTGGAATTCCCACGTTACACCTGGTAGGTGCTGAGCTGGTGCTTGCTCTGAGCTAGCACTCATCAGTGTGGGCTATTTTTCTTCCAAAGAGAACAAGTGTTGCTCCATGAAGTGGTAGAAGATTCCCCTGGCAGTAAATTCCTTGGAATGCGGTGTTTTATCACATCACCTGAGCTGCCACCGTGCCTGTTATCAGGCAAATGTGAACTTTGTCACAGTGGGCCTGTGGTGAGGCCCAGCCAGCCCGCTGGGTGTGGAGCCATGCACAGACTCCAATCACCTACAGCTGCAGGTGAGCAGGAAGCGGGACAGGATGGAGCAGGATAAGCCACAGGAGCAGTAATTGCAAAGACAATGGAAGTCTCTCCTGAGGGGTGAAGGTGCAGGGTGTAACACTCAGGATTTCGGGCAGAGGGACAAACCCTGGTGGGGTGGGGGAACAAGGAGGAGATGGGACTCTGGCGTTTGCCAGAGATGGTGGGCTCACAAAGAGGTGGTGGCTGCCAGGGTTTGGGAGGCTCAGTGGCCCCGGGATCAGCCCTTGTGCCGTGGGATCCGCAGGGCCTGGGGACGTGCTGGGGGCTGGATCCGGCCCCTCGGCTGTGCCCGGCTGCTTCAACTCCACACCTGACCACAGCACAGGCAAAGGCACCACGTGAGGACCAGTGAGCAGCCAGAGGGAAAATCCACTCCATGCACGTGCAGCTTAGGGCTTATGAGCAGCAGCAAGTCCAGAAGTCAGAAATGCACCGTGAATCCATGAGGGTTCTTGGATTTTCAGGGGCACTTTTGCATCAAGGCTGCAGAATTTGGATTTATTGGCTTTGGGTTTTTTAGTGCTTCACTGTGAAGTTGAAGGCAGGAAACAACAAAATAATCTGTGGCTGAGCTATCAGGCTGCATTCAGGAGGTTTTGCCAGGAGCAGTGAGGGATGGGTTGTGTTAAAGCCAAATCTGCAGAAAAAGCTTTTTATTTTTAACTGTTGCTGTGAAAAGCCTGGATCTTTGTTGCTGGGAGGGGAAACTGAGGCAGCTGCTGAGCCCTAGATGAGCTCTGCAATCCTCTGGGAATGTATCAAGGAGACACTTCTGCTGGGAAGGAGGAGTTTGGGTGCACATCTGTTGTGGGAAGGGTTGGGTGCTGCTCCACAGAAGCCACAGCCTGTGTTCCAGCCCATTTGCAGCAGTTGCTGCTGGTGAGGGGGTCTGGTTGGTTTAGGGAATGACGTGGTGGGATGGCAGAACACTTGAAGTGGGTTCTGACAATTCAAGGGCGGTTTGGAGTCAGAAAAATGAGTTGTATTAAAACAAAGAGGGGTTTGGTGTTTGCTCTGGTGAGGCTGATAGTTCACAGCATCACAGGGGAGCTGCTCCCACTGCATCCCCACAGAACTGGGCAGCACTGGGTCTGTCCCTCTCCTGCTGCTGTGATTAAGCATCTCACCCACTTCAGGCTGTCTCCTCTCCACGCCCTGCCGTGCACACACCACAGGACAGAGCCCTCTGTAATTGCACACCCAGCAGGGGCTGCTGGACGTGCTCCTGCCACAGGCACGGGTGTGCACCGGCCCTCTGCTGGGAATTGTTTCCTGAGCACTTCTTAAAGAATTCAAAGGCTGCAGTTACTGGCTGTGTGATCTTGTGATGCAGCTTTGGAAGGTTTTATTTGCGTGCTTGGGTCACGGTTCCGTGCTCGGGGCTGGGTCAGGAGCACGGGGCTCTCCCTGCTGTGGGACCTCCCAGTTCCACTCGCCCAGGCCCCGGGTGCTGCTGCTCCCCTCTGTAGAGCAGGACTCGGGGTTATGCAGCACCCAGTCTTTACCCACATGCTGAGTCCTCTGGTGCTCTGAGACTCGCTCTCTTGGGAGTGTCAGTGTGTCAACGTGTTTATGTCAGCTGGAGGGTGAGAAACACATAAGCTTACTTTTTGCCTTGCTTTGAGAGTGTTTTGCAGTGCCAGTTGGGTTTTGGAAATAACCATGTGCTTGTAGAGGTTACCTCAAATATTCCATGAGGGAGTTGCTGTGGGCTGAGATGTGGTGTGAGGAATATTAGATGAGTCAGAGTCTCAGGTGAGGAGTGTCAGGTGGGTCGGATTGTGTTGAGGATGTTGGAACCAAGGCAGCTGCTGCACACTGATGAGTGCAGTGTGTTAGCAGTCACAGTGTCCTGTGGTGGCAGGAGCAGAGCCCAGATGTGGGCCTCCCCGGTGTTTTTCTGGTTGTCAGGTTACACACCTTCCCAGGAGCATTTGCAGGGCTCCCTTAAAGTTTGTGCTCTTCCCCGTTGTGGGAGGAGCAGTGAAACACATCCATGACATGCATTTACTCGTGCTCAGGCCTGGCTCCAGTGCTGGCTGGAGGATCCTGAACAGTGCAAGGATTGAGCAGGTGGTTTGTGCTCAGGTGCTCGTGAGACTTGGGTGCACTGAGGGGATGTTGTGGGGTAATGCATTGTTCCAATGAGACAGAAAGACAAACAAGCAGGACAGAACATAGAACATAGACATGCATGGAAGGTGTGACACAGAGTAGAGGGGATACAGAAGGGAGGAAATGCAGACCAGAGGGAAAGCCTCTTGCAGCTGCCCCTGGACAAGGGGAAGGCAGTTCCCGGAGGCTGAGTCCCTCCTGTGGCAGTGCTCAAGGGGCTGCCTGGCTGGCTGGAGACAGAATGTGTGCCAACACCTCCACTCCATGTGAGCCCTCTGCCTTTCCCAGGCTGTGCCATCCACTCCTCGGATGCAGCTGTGGAGTGCTCTCGTGCTCCAGCTGTGGGAATCCTTTCAAGGTGAAGTGTCCTTGAGATGAGAAGGTGTCTCTGAACACGAGTGATGGCCATTTCCTCTTGGCACTGCAGTGCCAGCTCTGCCCGATGCTGAGCTGGCACTGCCACCATCCCAAAGCTGCCGCTCTGGAGTACAGCTTAGTCATGGAAATGAGATAAATCCTATT